GTGCAAGATAAGTGTAGGGCTACAACCCACAGAGGGGATGGAAGAGAGGTGCTGGGTTGGGACTCCCCAGGAGGGGTTTTTGAGTCAATTTTGGAGATGGGGATGCCCAAGAAGCGTCTCCTAAGGCCACCTAAAGGGAAAGCGTCTGTTTTGATCTCAGTGCTGAGGTGCTCAGGGCAGAGCAGTGTTGGCGTGTGTCCTGTCACTTGTCTCCGGTGCACTCTATGTTCTTTGGGTCTCTCAGTCCTTTCTTCTCCTCAAAAGCTTTCTGTCCCTGTCCTGTGTCACAGGTGTCTGCACATATTTTTCCTGGAGCTGCTCTGTCCTGTTGCATAGCCTGTAATAGCACAAGTCCTGGGGACTTGAAATTTGTAATGCCCGGTGTAGTTGGGCTCTAAATTGTATCAGGAGGTTGCCATAACATGTTTGGTGATGCTAAGTTGTCCTGCAGCTGTTTGACATTAGTCCTAATTTCCTTTCAGATGCAGGCAGTTCAAATCGGTGGCAGAGGGCCCCAGTCCTGGGGGAGGGTGTTTCCATGAGCAGGTCAGTCATTGTTTGCATTTGCAGGGGGAGCCTAAATGGTGACCGTATTACAGCGGTGCTCTTTACCTTTATTTTTAGGAGGTCCAGGTAGATAGCACCAGTCAAGGCCAAGTGTGCCAGGTGAGCCGTGGACCAAAGCAGTTGTTTTTGCTCAGCTTTTAGTTTTTGATTCAACTGTAAGCATCCATTCTTGTTTGTGTGCTTTAGGGAATCCACTCAGAGTATGCCAAGCCTTTGTGCCCGACAGCTGATGGCCTGGATTTCCTGTGCTTGTGAGCCCTCTGGAAGTATTGCTGGACTCTGAGATGAAGCCTTGAAATTTTGTATTTCACGATGGCATGCAGGTATCCTTTGGCACTGGCTGAGGAGTTGCGGTGAGTCGCCGAGGTAGGGAGGGGGAGGCAAGGTCCTCTTAGGTTTCAGTAATGCCGCGTCACTTTGTCTCTTCTTAACCCAGGCAGACCCTGCGATGATGGTGGCAGCCTCCTAGCCTGGCCAAAGTGCGTGGCCCGAGCATTCTTAGGAGAATGGTGAGTAGCAGGATTGCTGGGTTTTGTCCATTGTGCAGCTAAGATGATGCAGTGATGTTTGGTGTTCTTGATTGTAGCTGAGCACGGGACCACAGCCCGGTGACCATAGGACATTCTCAGGAGGCGAGGCAGCCTCCATTGGCACACGATGTGGATTCTCATCCCCAGATGCCTGAGAGATAAGTTGAGGGCTAAGGCCCACAGAGGGGATTAAAGTAGGGTGCTGGGAGGGCCTTTTGGATCAGCTTTGGGGGCAGGGATGTGCAAGAAGTGTCCCCTTAGGCCAGCTATAGGGAAAGTGTCTGTTTTGGTCACAGTGCTGACGTGCTCAGGGCAGAGCAGTGATGGGGTGTGTCCTGTCACTTGTCTCTGGTGCACTCTGTGATCTTTGGGTCTCTCAGTCCTTTCTTCTCCTCAAAAGCACTCTCTCCTTGTCCTGTGTCACGGGTGTCTGCAAGTATTTTTCCTGGAGCTGATCTGCCCTGCTGCATAGCCTGTAATAGCGCAAGTCCTGGGGACTTGAAATTTGTAATGC